GGTCTCAAGATACAGAATCAATGGGATATGTACATATACATGAATAGATACAGATACATAAAAGGTGATGTGTTAGGATAATTGGCTTACAAAATTATGGAAGCTAAGAAGTCCCACAACTAGCCACCAGCAAACTGGAGACACTGGGATGCAGGTAGCCTTGTTTAGTCCAAGTCTAAATGCCACAGAATTGGGGAGGCCAATGGTGTAACTGTCAGTCCTGGGCCAAAGACCTGAGAATGCGTGGAACCACTGGCATAAGTCCTGGAATCCAAAGGCTGAAGAGCCTGGAGTTCTGATGTCCATAGGTAGGAGAAGAGTATACCCACTTAAAGCAAGACAGAGTTTGCCTTTCCTCAGCCTTTGTGTTCTATCTGGGACCCCGGCTGATTAAATGGTGCCCATCACATTCAGCGTGGATCTTTCCGACTTAGTCTACCAACTCACATGCCAATCTTCTCTGGACCCTTACAGACACACCCAGACATAAGGTATTACCAGTTCTCTAAATATTCCTTAATCCAGTCAAGTTGACCCCTAAAATTAACCATCAAAGCCTCCCAGTTGCCAGGTCAAGGCAGCAGTGAGCTGAGATCACACCACTGCATGCCAGCCTGGCTGACAAAGGAGACCCCGTCTCAAAAAAACAAAAAAGAATGGAAAAAAAAAAAAAAGCCTCCCAGTTGCCAAAGGATATGTCTCACATTTTTTTTTTTTTTACTTTATTCTCTCCCAAAAGCTGTGTTTCAAAAAAGGCCCCTTTATAACAAGCCTGTCCTTTTACAACTTGCATACTTTGAAGTCTCTTCCCTGTAGCTCATGCTCCGATTTGCCTGAAGACTTTCATGGTACTTTCTATGGTTTTAGATTACTTTCGGCCCTTTCTTTCCTGTCCTCTCCAGTTTTCCTTGGTTTGCCCTAGTCTTTCTGTGGGATGAGGCTGAAGCTGGTGCATGAGAGACACGCCAAACTTTTAAATTCATGGTTATTTTAGAGTTCTACTAGTCTCTGTTCTCAAGAACTACTGAGCATGGTTTTTCAGCAGATATACTTTTCTACTTTTCCTTTCTTGTTTTGCATAAGTTTTGAAGGAAGTATAATATTAGGAGACCATGTCCATTGTCTCAAACTACCCACAAGTTCTATATTTTGATTTGATTTCACAATATTAAGAACATACTCCACAAGAGGTATTTGTAAATGGTGGCCTTTTTTTTAAACAGCTCATGTTCCAAATTCCTTATTTTAACAGGTCCTAAGATCTAAGAGAAACAAAAGAGAAGTTTTTTAAGTTAATTGTCTAATAAGGTGTACCAACTGCTTAGCTTTTCTTGACTGATATTAGTCAATTTGGAAGTTGTACAAGAACTGTAGTCAATTTAAACCTTGATTGTTTTGTGGTTGTTTCAATAGTACCTTACAGTTTTGAGATAGATATGTATTTTTTTAAAAGTCAGACACATTGGTGCTTTGTAGTCCATTGTAAGGATACCGTTCTTTCTTTGCGTGATGGGGTATCACTGAAGTATTTTGATCAGAAGAGTGACCTGCATTTAACAGAATCACTGCAAGTGCTATGCTGGAGTGTAGACTGTAGAGAGGAATGGCCTGAAGCAGGACACCAGTAAAGCAGCAGTTGTAATGATGCTAACAAATGTAGGGGTCTCATAACAGGTTAGCCATGGAGGGAGGGAAGGTGATATGATTCTGAATACATTTTGAAGGCAGAGCTCATAGGATATCATGAGGGATTGAACATGGCATTTGAGAGAAAGAATAGTTGAGAATAATTCCAAGATTTTTGGCTTGAATAGACAGAAGATACGAAAGCAGCTGATTTGGACAGGAGGTTTAAAGGCATATTTCTGGAAGATTAAGGTTGAGATGCATCTAAGAGGAATTTCAAGTAGGCAGGTAAATATATGAGTTTGAGATTCAAGAGAGAAAACCTAGGATGGAGTTATAAATTTTGGAGTCATTAGCATATAGATGGTTTTTAAGGCCCTGAGACTGGATAAGATCATTAAAGAACTGAGTTGAGAGAGAAAGGGGCTTAGAGGCTGAACTCTGGGCATACTGAGGTTAGGAGATGTGGGGGATGAGTAGGGAACAGTAAAAGAGACTAGGAAGTGAAAAGACAGCTGGTGAAGTGTAGAGTCGTAGGAGCCAAATGAAGAAAGTGCTCACAGGAGAGAGTAACTGTACTTTTTAGGTAAAGGAAATAAGGACTAGGAATTGACCATTGAATTTAGTAACCTGAAAAGCATTAATGACCTTGCCAACTGTAATTTCAGTGGAGCAATGAACTGAAAACATTCAAGTGAGAAGAAGAATTGGAGGCAGCAAGCATAAACAGCACTTTTCATGATTTTCTCATATGCTGTAAGGCAGGTAAAGAAATCCATCGGGATGGAAGCTGAAAGGAGAAGTGGGACAGAGAGGGTATCTTTTGGTTATTTCAATGGGAAAAGTTACAGCAGGCTTATATGCTGTGGGAATGACGCTGTAAAGAAGAGATATTAGTGGGCTGGGCACGGTGGCTCACGCCTGTAATCCCAGCACTTTGGGAGGCCGAGGCGGGTGGATCAGGAGGTCAGGAGATCGAGACCATCCTGGTCAACATGGTGAAACCCTGTCTCTACTAAAAATACAAAAAGTTAGCGGGGCATGGTGGCGAGTGCCTGTAATCCCAGCTACTTAGGAGGTTGAGGCAGGAGAATTGCCTGAACCCAGGAGGCGGAGGTTGCGGTGAGCCGAGATCGCGCCATTGCACTCCAGCCTGGGTAACAAGAGCAAAACTCCGTCTAAAAAAAAAAAAAAAGAAAGAAAAAGAAAGAAGAAGAGATATTAGTGATGGAGTAGGAAGAGGCTTTCTAGATTAATGACTTTGAGTAGAGATAGTGACAGACTCCAGTTCACCAATGACGATGGAAGCGCTGACAAGGCCTACTTGCTAAAGATGGGAAAGCAGAGTAAGTGGAGAGGCAGATGTGAGTAGGTGAATAAATGCATGAGAGTACCCTGTGGAAATCCCTTCCGCACCGTTTAGGTGAGAGTAGGATGGAGGCAGAAATAAGGGAAATTAGAAAAAAAGGAAGAGCGGGTGAAAACCATCTACTAGACTGGGTGAGATGGAGGCAGCCTGGAGAATGGTTCTGGGAATTTAGTGTTACTGCCAGAAAACAGGTGAGTGTTTTTACATTTTAGAGTGAGACCAGTCCGCATGATGGTGTGTTTTTCTTGAACCACATTCTGCTACACAGAAGTAGGTACAGATAAGTGAGGAGTTGAGAGTGTATAATAGGAACACTTTAAATATTATGAATGACTTGGTCCCACCCACTTTCAGGTATTTGTTTGGTTGAGGAAGGGCTGGGCCACTGGATTTTTTTTTAGAGCACCCAAGATAATTCTAAGTGAAGTCAGAGTTGAGTTGCTGAAGTATGACATAGCTTTTGCCTGAAGCAGTTAGGCGTATGGACAAATATTTGTGGATTATAAAGCTAAAAAGGTAAGTTTAGTTGTGATTTATTCATTTTTGGATAATCCTGGTCTAGAATTTTTGGACTGGGGGAAGTTCCCAAGATGCTTAAAAAGATGAGAGTAAAGAAAATGTCTGACATTTGCTCTGTGGCTTACAGATGTGCACGCGTGCGTGCACGCACACACACACACAGACACACAGAGAGAGAGAGAGAGAAAGAGAAAGAGAGAAAAAGAAAATGTCTAATATTTGTCATCTCTACCCCTATCATGGGAAAGTATCCGGAAAGTTTAGATGTAATATTTTAGGCATTTGAAAATTTTTAAACTTTGTACTAACTTGGGCTGGGCGTGGTGGCTCATGCCTGTAATCCCAGGACTTTGGGAGGCTGAGGCAAGTGGATCACCTGAGATCAGGAGTTCAAGATCAGCCTGGCCAACATGGTGAAACCCCATCTCGACTAAAAATACACACACACAAAAATTAGCCAGGCCTAGTGGTGGGGACCAGTAATCTCAGATACTTGGGAAGCTGTGGCAGGAGAATTGCTTGAACCCGGGAGGAGGAGGTTGCAGCGAGCTGATATTGTGCCACTGTATCCCAGCCTGGGCAAAAAGAGTGGAAAAAAATTATATTAAAAAAAAATTATATTAAGTTGGATAGAAACAAATCAGTTTATGAATCTTTAGCAAATACGTTAAATCATATTTTTTAGAAGATTTTTATGCTAAGTGTCAGCCTAAAGCATTTTGTGTGTAAAATTGAAGTCCTGACAGTAAGTAGAGAATATATTTTCAATTTTTGATATGAAACACATTAATAAAGTTATTGAAACATTTTTAGTTTATAGATGGATTACTATAATCCATCAGAGAAAAGGAATAAAAAAAAATGACGCTTTTTCCAAGACATGCAAATTATCTTGCTTTGAACCTAGATTTTGAATAAAATGGTTTCCTAAGTATCTTTTGCTCTGAAGCAGTAAAGACGATGGGAGAGTTTACTGTGATTTTGACAAATGGCAACTTCTTAGCACACAAAAACACAGCTAACGTTCTTCTAATTTTTCAAAAGGAGACATAAAATTTTCAAATTTAGAGATTCACTTTATCAGCTCAGAAAGTTAAAAATTCACAGTGCTATCTATGTACATAGCAGACAGAGCAAAATAGGTGGGCCAATAAGCAAGTATACATATACTCCTTTTTGTGAAAAGTTATTAAAAACTTGCTTTCAAATAAATATTATTTATTTCTTGTTATGAACAAGGCAGAATTCTCAGTCTTTAAGTCACAGGAGTTTTATTTGAGCAAACTTCCAGCAAGAATTAGATATCTTCCATTTTGTTCCTTTTTCTACAGAAGAAAAGCAAGAGACCAGATACTGGGGGATATATTGCACAAGTGTGACTTCAAGAAACCCAAGCCAGTGCAAACAATTCAAAAAATAATGGAACTGAAGACAGCGAACCTTTCAGGAATGCTATGGACATTTATCCGCTCTGCTATCATTTATGTTTCTGTAGTCAAGGTTCAGTTATATCACAGTTGAGACAACTCCCTAGAAACAATGATCCCTGCTAAAGCTGCTCTAGGAGCACAGGAATTCCTTTGATGAGCTCTAAGAGATTGGTAACAATACCTCCTGAAGGGCCATGTTGCTAGGTAACAGCTTGTTTCCTTGGTCACAGTGAATCCATGGAAGACCCCCAGAAGAGGCTGCAGATTCTTGGTGGACAGCTCTGGTATCCCATCCAGGGAACATGATGAAAAATGTCTTCAGAAAATAGATTTATGAAGGCAAGAGGAATTTTTGCACCCGCAAGACATGTCTGAAAGGTAGGAAAATTAAATTAAAAGTAATCATTGTCATTAGTGGAGAGAGAAAAAAAAGCCGAACAAACGTAGATAGTGTTACCAGATTAAATATCCTTTAGAGACGTAAAGTCATGCAGCCTGTGTTACTGATTATGAGAAGCAAACTCAACTGCCACTCTCTCCCCTAATACCATGTAACTGGTTACAAATGCAATGCAGTTTCTGTAATTATTGTTGTGATGGAGACAGGTGGGCTTACTCTTTTAGTAACGGTATGTCTAAGAGACATGGGACTCTTCCAGAAAGCATTTGTGGATTTTCATGAGAAAAATGGGCAAGAGAGCTGAAAGGTAATATATTAGTGTTTCTGTTTACATGAAATTACTATCATAAAAACAGGACTTATACCAGCTCATTAAAGCCATAAATTAGATTAAATAGAGGCCAAAACCCAGTATTTGTTTTCTCACTCCTAAATTTCACAGCAGTTTCATAAGCGTTTCTCAAACATGCTGATAATTAAACAATATACAGTTAGAGGGTTTGCAGGTTTCTTGAATTGTTTTTGTTTTTACATTAGTATAAAACCCGGCTCTCGCATTTTAAAAATAATATTTTCATCTTCAGTTTTCAAGATTAAGTATATCGTGGTTTTATAAAAGTGTATGAAACTTACTTATAGCTTCCATTTACTACCTATAATTAAGAAATGAATTGTGTTTAGGTAAGGGATTAGAATATCAAAGGAGTGATAGAAGATCTATTTAGTCAACTCTGCATATCTCAAACAGTGTCAAGGTACTTGATTTTAATGTTAAAAATTAAATGTGTATTAATTTGGAGAAATTAGCACACAATAGTTTAAAATGGATAGTCGTTCTGTGCAGAATTGTAAACTTCATTTTTTCTCTGCTTGCTAAAACTCCTTTAATATACTAACAAGAGAAACTTTATTTGTTCCGTATAAAATAATCTTTACTATCAATATTGTTATTTCTCAACTAATACATCTTTATAAAATGATTTTAGAGACAGCCTAAAAAGTGATAACCTGGATGCAACTTATTTTTATTTATTTTTATTTTTTATTTTTGGATACACAGCCTCAGTCTATCACTCAGGTTGGAGTGCAGTGGCACAATCTCGGCTCATTGCAACCTCTGTTTCCCAGGTTCAAGCTATTCTTGTGCCTCAGCCTCCCGAGTAACTGGGATTACAGGCCTGTGGGACCACACCTGGCTACTTTTTGTATTTTTAGTAGATACAGGGTTTCACCAAGTTGTCAGGCCATTCTCAGCCTCATGAGTTCAGGCAATCCACCCACCTGAGCCTCCCAAAGTGCTGGGATTACAGACATGAGCTACCACACCCGGCTTACACCAAGGATACAACTTAAACTGTAATCTTCAATTTGTGAAAGGCAAAAAAAGAAAAGATGAAAGGAAGGAAGGAGAAAAGAAAAGGAGAGAGTAAGAGAAAGAGGGAAGGAGAAAAGAAAAGTTTCTTTGATGCCAGTATTTCTTCAATCACATTTCTGCACATCATGAAACAAGAACCTTATTCATCCCACCTTCCTAAAACACAGTCAATTTCATTTGGCATTTTATAGTTTTATTTCTGCTAGCAAGATCTACCTCAGTCACATATTGTCTTTTAGTATCTATATTCTTCTAGCTCATAGTGTTGGATGTGGTTAAATTTTCAAAGTTGTAACAGCATAGGGAGTAGTAGTTATTCCTCAAGTATTGAAAGCCACCTAAGCAGCAGCTATAAATGTTGTTACAATAAAGCTCTAAAAATTTCATGGAGAGAACATAGAGATAGTTCAGTCTATCTTCATTGGTTCTGTTGAGTACATCTTTCGCTTCTATAAATGTCAGAGAACCCACATGTAGCCATTGAAATTTACAAGTTTTTCGTCTAGAGAAGTATTGTGGGTGTTTGTTCTTTTAGTTTTGTTGTACCTTAATTTGGGGGCCTATAAATGTTCATAAGAATGTGTGTGGGGCTAATAGGGACCTGCGAAATTTATAAGAATAAAAATTGAGTCACATAAAATCTGACTCATTCAGACTGAGGTACAGAAAAAGCAATTGCCATTGTGATTTTTTCAAAATTGAAATTTATTGTTGTTTGCTTTTAGAATCAACAATCTAAATCATTTAGATTAAAATCCTAGACTTTGGGGTAACAAATATTTTTGGAATATCTCTAAAACACCTAGCTTTTCAGAATAGTTTATTGATAAATATTTACTCAATTTATGTGTTTAGTTCTAGAAACTTAATTCAAAGCTATCAGTATGTAGTAATAATCTTCAAATTAAAACATCTAGCAAATTTGCCAGTTTAGAAATTAACCACTTGGTATATCCAACTTCTTCCTGACTTTATGATAACCTCAGAGTACTTTCAGTTACCTCATTACCGTGTCTGACACGTAAAGTACAATCATTATCCATTTTACAAACAAAATACAAGCAGAGAAAGGACAGAAATTCTGGGTTTTTAAAAGAAAAAAAAATGGTCTAAGAAATCAAAGAGGCTGAATTTATCTTTCCTTTCATCCAAATTTAATGCTATAGCGTTCATTGTAATTCTCTTCTAGCCCATGCTTCAGAAGTACCTGGCTTCACTGAATTTGAGACTCTGGCTCAGTATTTTTTTGGAGGGGAGGAGGAGGCTGAGTGATTGGAAAGAGTAGTGGCCTTTGCCAACTGAAACACTTTGCTAACCGAAAAATAAAGTTCAACATACTCTCCTTCCTTTTTTCCTAACTACAAAGCTGTCAGGCTGAAGCAATGAATATAAATGGAACATTTAGAAGCTGAGTTGTATTCTATACTGTTTTGACAATCCTACATGTCTTAAAGGGGCTCCATGGTCTGTGTATGATGTGTGCTCAACATATCTTTATGCGACTTAAGAGCTCAACTTCACCTCAGAAACAAGGCCATCTGTCACTTCCTCCTTCACTCCCCTTACAAAATTACACAATCACCAACTTGACATTTTAATTAAACAGATAGCAACCGTTGCTACAGACAATTTATGAGGCTTATAAATTTGTGATTGTAAAGAACATTGCAATCTTCTGATGAAAGGGCTCATGAATTGATAAGTTTTATTGTTGTTCATCCAGTGGGCTCAGCTCACCTGATTCCTTTTTGCTAGCCGTTCTACACTTTTTTTCAACCAAGACTAGATGGCCAATTCAGATAATGCCAGCTATTTTAAAGACACTATAAATCATGGCTGACAAATGCTGTACAGTTTTAGCCATGGCACCGTCTCCATGGCAGCTTTATATTGGAACATTAATAAAATTAATTCCTCTTTCATAAAGGTTTAGATTTGTAATTTATGATAACTGTTTGTTCACTGCAGGTAGAAAGATTAAAACTGAGTAAACCAATATACCAACTAAACTGCATTTGTCTGGTTTTATTTTTGGGGGGAAAGAGGGGCAGGAGCATTTAAAAAACAGTTTGATGTTATCTGGAATAATGTTCTCATAGGTTCTACTACTGAAGGCCTAATTTTTGTTTTCGGCAAGTAACAACTGCTTGAATTTACATGTTCTATTAACTAGTACAATTATTTATATGTGTTTAAGTGATTAGAATAAGAAAAATCAATGTTAATGATTTTTCTTAACAACTGCACCCTAATAGTGATAGATCTCTACAGTTATTTAAGGAATTATCTGCATCTTGTATGAATTCTAGCAGTTAAGACGACTGGTTAATTACTAATGTAACTTGGGCAAGTTACCCTGTCTCTCTGTGCCTACATTTCCTCATCTATAAAGTTGAAATGTTAATCATTTCATTACGTGATTGGAATGATTAAATGAGTTAATTCATGTAAATCTCTTAGTATAGTGCCTACCACATAGCAAATGTCAATAAATAAAAACTATAAAAGTATGATTTTAGTAATAGCAATACTTGCCATTATAGCAGTAATATTATAAAACAAAACACCCTATCCCTGAGGCATAGTCCACATTGTCATCTGAATATTAAAGATACAGAACTGAGGATCAGAGATGATGCTAAGTGCCTTGACCAGGGTGTGGTACCTGGAGTAATATAAGAATGTGAGAAAAGGACTCCAGACTTTGGGGCCTACAAGTAGATTTCATACTCAAAGACAATCAGACTGGTCGTCTGTTGGTTGGAATTTTCTTAGCTGAAACACTATCATTCTTCAGTTCATTTTTCAATTCGTTCTGAAAAAAATGAAATGCATTGAGAGAGGAAAAGGAAGGAAGGAAGGAGAGAGAGAGGGGGAGAAAGCTGGTAAGGGCATCAGCTGACTATGTACCTGTATCACTAAAATTTTAATTACCTTCTATTATTAATAAATGCCTGGTCATTACTGGGGTAATGCCATAAAGAGTTCTAGTTTAAACCAGAAAGAAATCTAATGTAAACTAAGATAATGAGATAATTTTCACTTATACTTTTAAACTTAATTTCACCTTAAGGTTGTTATGCTTATCTTGCAAAAATACACAAGAAGGTGTAATAAAAACCCAATCAACTAAATCTTTCTTATCAGATCTTGTAATTATATGAAATTTATTTTCCTTGTGTCCTACTTTAAGGAGATTGTATAAAACAATAATGCCACATCTCATACTTTAGATTAAAACACAGAGGGAGGGAGACTTCCAGGTTATTCTATTAACCCAACCCCTCATTGTTTAACTGTCGCTGGTGTTTATAATCACAAGACACAAGTCACTGAAGGAAGATTTATCCATATCCATTGTCCTTATTTTTCTTATTTTGGCATAAAAAGGCTAGCCTATTTTAGTAAAGACAAATGAACCCAAAAGTCAGTTAAACTTTCATTCCTGTTAATCCTCTGATTTATTATTCTATTTTCCCTCAAGTTTTTTCTCATAATTATTGGCTAAAAATCCAGTTTTAGATAGCAGGATTTATCTGCTTCAGAAATAATGAAATTCAGAAATTGTGTTTTTCTCATGTTTGTTAATTTGTTTTTATGGCACGATGCTTTCTGATAATTTCAAAAAGCAGTATCTAAACTGTTAAAGAATTGCTCGTGAGAAAAAAGTGAAATACATATATGTTATGATATTTTTACATAATTAACACCAAATTTTTGACTTTTGAATTTAGTGGCAGTTAGAGAAATTATTTTCTCCTTGATCATAGGTCATTTAAAAAGTTTATTGACTCAGTAATGATATTTTAGAATATGATGCTGTTTAAAAGAATGATCCTGTTTTAGAATATAATGGTTGTGCTCTTCTATTGTACAAGCTCAGTTAAGAAGTGAAAAAATAAAACATGTTTCTACATTACTTCATGAAGGCAGCCTTAATAAACAAGTTATGTGTAGTTTCCTATCAGTAAAATTGCTATTAGGGTCATTATAAATGTACTAATATAGAATTTTTCTCTTAAGATTTTTAGAGATTGAAAAATAATCTACCAAGAGAAAAAAAGAGGCCATAAATATAGAAAGATGTGATTCTAGTTTCAACTTACACACATAAAAATATTTAGATCAAAATTTTTAAAATTATTGGCTTAACAGCATGTACAGCATCAATTACAGAAAGAGAAACTTATCACTATTTCTAAGGAGAAAGGGAAAGGTCTCAGAACAATGAATATTAAACCAGAGAACTGGTGTAAAAGAACAGAAAATATATTTTACAGCTCAGTAGTATAAATATAGGAATACAAGGAGAATTGGAGTGTTGTTACATGAAAGGTTGAGTGGCATTCCAAAGTGAGTAAAATTAGTTAAAGAACCTGACATTTTAAGTTGTTTGCCACTAATCTGAGGAAATATAACAGGCTTAGGGAAAATCTCAGGGAAAATTTAAGTTCCAGAATCCAGGAGAGACCAACAGAGATTTTAAGGATGCTTGTACTTGCCAAATCTGCAGCTGTAGCTCTACTAGGCAAGATGTTCCAGCATGAGAGCTGTCCTGCTTGGTATCTTATAAGCGTGTGTGTGTGTGTGTGTGTGCGTGTGCGTGTGCGTGTGCGTGCACGCGCGCGCCTGTGTTTTCACATATACTATTAGATGCTTTTTCTAAGATACAGTCTATGTCGACACCCTTACCTTTCAGAAGAATGTCTCAAGTGACCATTAGCCATAAAAATTTGGTTAGAACTATGAAGAATTAAAAGTCCTTCTAAAATCTATGGTATTATCTTTCTTTCAAAGGAAAACTTTATGATTATAATTTGTTTTTGTAGGTTCTGTTTTTTGGTTGGTTTTTAAAAATTTTTTAATTTTTATATTTTGAGGGAATCTCCGTCTCCCAGGCTGGAGTGTAGTAGCATGATCTTAGCTCACTGCAAACTCTGCCTCTCAGGTTCAAGTGATTCTTCTCCCTCAGCCTCCCGAGTAGCTGGGATTATAGGCCCACCCACCACACCCAGCTAATTTTTGAATTTTTAGTAGAGACGGGGTTTCACCACATTGGCCAGTCTGGTCTTGAACTGGTGACCTAGTGATGTGACTGCCTCAGCCTCCCAGAGTGTTGGGATTACAGGCCTGAGTCACTGTGCCCAGCCTGTTACTGTTTTAAACAAGAATATTTACATTTTAAAACTTTAAAACATATGAACACTTTAAGTATTTTCTTTTATTCAGTTCCTCAGGTCAAAATACAAGTAGTCAAGAGATTTGTCCATCTAATTCATCATACTACTCTGATCCAAGTGAGACCCACATTGGGTCAGCTCCATCAAGGAGAGGAACATTTCACCTGCATTTGGATTCTGGAATATCATCCTTGGTAAATATTTTAAATTAACTCTTTACCTGATTAAGTTTATAAAACATATTTTGGTATTTAACATTTTAAAATAAGTGTATTAGCTGTTCACCCCTACCTTTGTAAGTGTGAGAGGAGAAATGAAAGGTTGATACTCTCAGTCCCAATTAAAAGAGAGACGAAAAAAGAAAGAAAGAAGTTGGAGTGGAGGAAGGAAGATCAAAAAGGAGAAGGAGATGAGTAGAAAAGATAATGACTCTTTAAACCAAAATGGCGCTCCTTCCTTTCTCCTCCTGAGTGCAAATTCCGTCTCTAGTCTGAGATTTCCTTTCCTTTCTTTCTGGAATTTCCTTTGTCTGTGAGATACATTTTTCTTTTCTCTGAGACTCAGCACTTATAAGACATTCTGTCTAAGCCATCTAACTGAAATCATACATGCCTTTCCTCCCTTCCCTTTACACGTAATTATTCCAGGCATCCCACTGGATTAAGATGAGTTATTAATATGTCTACCTCCCAAATTGTAGAAAGTTTTTCAAGCACAACTATGGTGTTTTATTCAACATTGTATCCCCAGTGTCTAAGAGAGAGCCTGACATATAACGTGGTAAAATATATTTTTTTGAATATAATGAAATGAAGCATGCTAGCATCAAACATTTATTGAACAATACATTAATCAATTGGCCTATCAGAATTTAAAAAAAGAAAAAGAAAAAACTGCAGGACAAGACACAAATATTCACTGTTTCCTTAGGAAGGAAAAACTGTCACACATATCTGCACCAGTCTGAAAACCTTACACAGAAATAAATGAAAACCTGCAGCAGCTCATTTTCCTATAATGTCAGAAGCTCCTTTAAAAAACAAACAGGCGTTTTGTACGAAAGTAGATGTCTGGTGAAAAAGAAAAAGTTTCCTCTTGAATACAGCTTTAGCTTAGAACAATTTTTCTTTTCCCAGCACGAGCCTCGTAAGATAGCAGAGAGGCATTGGGTGGCAATCCTAGGAAACTTAACTTCCAAGAAATTTTTATTCTATAATAGAAACAAGAAAAGAAAAATTCCAAAAGCACATAACATGTTGGGAAAGAGGCTTTCATAACCATGTAAACTGAACAGCCAAGAGTAGGTTGTGGGCTATATTCCTTAATAATCTAAAATGTTTTGTGTTGATTGTTTTCCTAAAAGAATAGTACAAAAGGATGAGTAATTCCTTGAAAGCAAATCCTCAAACTATCTCTAAGAACTGCTCAAGCATAAGTTAACTTTTTAGTGTTGCTATTAATAAGCTTTTGTTAGTGTACTATTTTTTAAATGAAGATATTGGGATATTTACTGAAGCAATCAAGGTCATTCAGTGAGTAAGTAATGCAGCTAACATATCAAAGTTAAATTATTATTTAAAAACCAACTCTTTTCAACTTATTTTGGGGCAGCACTTTCCAAATTCTGCTCTAAAGAATAGAGTATTTGTTCCAAACACTTAATATTTTTTAAACTAAATATTCTGAGTTTGTTTGTACACGTGTATAACTTTGGCTAAAAGAAGAATGAATCTGTTGCAAAATTTAACATAATATTCTTTACAAGTAATATGCCTTTTGTTTGTGTTAACCCTGAAATGATCACAAGTTATATAAAATACTGAAATTAGGATCGACTACAACCTCAATGTTAGTAAACAATTAAAATGGTCCCAAATGTGATCCTGGCACTTGTTCCATTTGGTAATATACTGTCCAGAACAAGATGGCTATACCCGAAATATTTCATTCAGTTTGAACTACGCATCTTAAGAGCAATGTCAGTAAGTTGAAACTCTTTCCAAGAATAACCACCAAAATGTTTACTAATTTATAAACCATTATCTATGATTAATAAATGTCTTAGAAAGAGAATAACAACTATTATTAAACATTTAAAACAGTAATCATATGTGGAGGGATTCTCTGTGGAGCCTTAAAAAATGTAACTTGTACAATTGGAGCAAGTTAGAAGGATTATATAATCAACAGAAGACATCTTAATTAGAACTGTTATAAATGGAATGAGACTGCTCATGAGATATTCAATAAATATTAAAGGACAATTTATACAAATTGGCTTAAAGGAGATCATGAATGGATACATATTTATTCATGATGTCATTTACCATCAAAAGTAAATCAGTTGCAGATGTTGGGGACGCAAAGTTGAATAAGAACACATAATTTAGATTGGACTAAGATGATTTCCATGAACACACCACTAGATATTTGGAGTTCAATTTGGCTAAATGTTTGGCATGGATTTGCATTACTTTTACACATGGAAGTAAGTGAACTACATATTGCCAGATGTTATATATTTCTCTTCTCTCTTATTTTAAAGCTTCCTTCAGATTCTTGTAAGTACCTCACTTGGCACAAGGTAGAACAACATGACATTCAAGGAAGTCAACTGCGTTGCCCAAGAGTAAGAGAAGGTAAAAGAATAAATGTGTGCCTTTTTTTGTGTACATCCCCTGAGTAGAATTTTTTGTGGATTAAAAGACATTACTTGAAGAAAGAAAAAGACATCATTTGGAGATAAAATTTTCCTTTTTCAAGACTATAGAATTGTTGATATGTGAAGCCACCTTTGAAAGCATATTCTTATAACTGATTATATAAATAACATTCGGCATTATTGGAAAAAATTGAAAGATAAAGAAGAACCTGTAACCAACTATCCAGAATAACCACTCTGACTTTCGTTTCCATTTACTCTTTTGTTGTAAAATATATACATACATATACATACGCACATGAAATTTTTTTTCACTTAAAATAAGCATTTCTTCCATTCCATTAAACATTACCCAAATCATACTTTTTAAAGCTTACATAATTTTCTATCATATGAATATCATTAAATGTATTTAACCAATAATCTTTGTTGAAAATTTAGTTTACTATTTTTTTATAACAATGTTATTCACAATGTATATATCCCTCTCAATATATACATCTGTATATATACATCTACATATTGATATATATCTAGTATCTAGAGAGATAGATAAGTAGATAGAGACTTATTATAGGAATCGCATAATTGTAGAGACTGAGAAGTCCTACAATATGCCTCCTGTAAGCTGGAGAAACAGGGAAGCCCGTGGTATAATTTGGTCTGTGTCTGAAGATCTGAAAATCAGGAGGCTGATAGTGACACTCTATCAGGGTCTATCAGAGCCCTCAATGGGTTGCAAGATGCCTGCCCACATTGGTGAGGTCAAATCTTTGCTCAGGTTGCTGATTCAAATGCCCATCTCTTCCAGCTACGCCCTCACAGATGGATAATTTTAGGTGTCAACTTGATTGCATTAAAGAATAACTAGATAAACTGGTAAGGCACTATTTCTGGGATTGTCTGAGGGTGTTTCTGGCATAGATTGGCATTTGAACCAATGGATTGAGTAAGAAGATCTGCCCTCACTGAGTGTGAGTGGGCACTATCTAAGTGGTTGGACCCAGGGAGAACAAAAATGCAGACAAACTGAATTTTCTTTCTCTTTTGGAGTTGGGACAATGATCTCCTGCCCTTGGACATGAGAACTCAGACGTCTTTGCTTTTGGACTCTAGGACTTGGATCAGCAGGCCGTCAGACTCTCAGGCATTCTCAGGTGTCACACTCAGTGACACCATCAGCTCTCCCATTTCTTAGACCTTTAGACTCAGACTGTGACACCACTGGCTTCATGGGTTCTCCAGCCTGCAGACAGCATACTGTGGGACATCTCAGGCTCCATCATTATGTAAGCCAATTCCTATAATGACCCCCTTTTTCTCTCTCTCTCTCATATTAGTTCTGTTTCTCAGGAGAACCCTGACTAATACACAGACATACCCAGGGACAATGTCTCACCTGTTATCTGAGTATTCCTTAATTCAGTCAAGTTAATATCTAAAATTAACCATCACACTAAATGAATCAGGTGGTCTCATTTTACATTTTCACACAGCACTTTAAATTTGGTAGAATAACTGTTTTGCTATTACTGTTTTATTCTATCAGATTGTATAAGGGTAATAGTATAACAGTACGAATAACTGCTAACTGCAGTCATTGATATACATAATGTTTGATTTCAAAGAGCAGCTTTCAATAGATTATAAATTCTTAAGAACAGAGACCATGTGTTTCTCATGTCTTTTTTTGCATCCACAAAAGCCAATGAAATAATATTAGACATAATTCCTGCTTCAGGGAGTGTTTAGTCTCTAGGAAACAAATATCTTGGCTATCTTCCATCTGTATTAGTGGGCTTGTAGTAATATTGTATATTGTACAATTTTACTATTGATTTAGGAAAAGTGGCTTTAGATCCACTTCTCTGCCCATTTCCCCTCTCAGAGGATTCCCAGATGCTTCTTTCGTTTAAACTCAGTTGGCAAAGGAAGGGGAGAACTGAAACCGCATAATTTTCTTGTACTTCGAGTAAAATATGTTCTTATGCTTTAACTCTGTCAGCTCTATTTGCAGCCAAGCACTGACTCCTATTTTTAAGATGTGAGTAGATAGTACTACTAGGGATAAATTAGAGTTGTCCTTTTGGGACCTTAGAATTTTTTTCCCCTCAAGAGTGAGAAATTGTGGGGAATTAGACAAGAACGACACCAAGAGAAGTGGTGGCTCAATGTGTCGCATGTGTAAGGAGTCCTCCAGCAAAAGGAAAAGAGAGCTACGTCACAAACTAAAGCAGAAAGGATTTAATTCAGTCCCTAAGCTTCAGTGTGTGAACAAATCATCTTGAGGTGTGTGAAAAGTCAGATTCCTGGGTCCTACTCCCACAGAATCTGATGTAGTTAGTAAGGCATGGAGCCCAGAATCCAGATTTGTAAAAAATTATCGCAGGGAATTCTGTTGTAGATGATTTGAAGGCCATCGTATGAGAAACACTGTTTAAGAGTTATGAGGAAAGGAAGAGAATAAAAAAATTTGAATAGAAACTGAAAAGACTGATAAGTAAAAACGCTGACATGAGTGTGTGTATGCAGGGGCAGGCGGTTGATAATTGTGGCCATGAGAGAGACGCAAAAAGAGACTGTATTCCAAGCACACGTGCTGGGTTGAGGTTTAGAGAGAACTGCAGAAATTGGAGATGACGAGAAAATAAAATGTGAGAATAAACTGAAAATGAGCTTGTGCAGAGGATGTCCAAAGGTCTCCTCTCCCTGACTTAAGTGACCAGGTTATGTGCTGAGGTCATCACTCAGCAAAACCAATCCCACGTAATGACCGTGGTGGCCATTCATGCAGAAGACATCATTGCTCTGCAGAGATGAAAGTGCATTTTCCTTCTATGGATCATTAACAACACCCAGTTTCTTGTAAGTGACTGGTCATAAAAGGACCAGAACATGATCACGGGGATGGAAAACACTCAAAAAATCCTATCACCTCAAACCAGGGAGAAAATAGATGTCCCTCCTTCATTGCTCTCAATTTTGTTTAAGTTTGTTTTGTGGCATGGAGAACAAGTGCTTTTCAAAAGCATTTTGAGAAGAATTACCCTCTTTCCAGATTAGACCTTGAAACACCCATCAAAGCTACTTCAGTCGATCCCAATTGCCTCAATCGTACATTCAAGAAGAGTTCACAAGAAAGGAAAGGTTATCTGGTGTGTGATAAACAGCAATTGCTGAAGGCTTCGATTGCCAGATCAAGGCTGACTGAAGTTTTCACAATTAAATAAAGCAAAAGAGTAAACTGCTGGCAGAATTCTTGTAAAGAACAGATTCTTTCCCTTCAAAAATATCCAGAAAGTTAATTCAATGACTGCTATTTTGTGTTACAAATCCAGTGAGGGGACAAAGAACAGGCTGAGAGGGAGCAAGTGAAAGCCAACATTCCTGAACTGTCAGATTTTCCAGACTGTAGTTCAGCTGCTAAGATATATCTTAAATTACCAACCAAGCCTGAGAAAAAAAAAAAATCCAATTTAATTCAACTCCTCATAGTGAAAGTGAACTTTGGCCTCCAACTTCAAAGAAAGCTTTGAAAGCTACTTTAAAAAGAAATAATTAAAAGAGCAGAAGATCAATAACACTCAAACAAACAATACAGGGAAGAGTTTAATAACTCTGGGTTATCTGGTGCACAGAGAAAGCCACCAAATTTGAAGTGGGGGTGGGGAAAGATAATAACACAGCCTGAAGGTCTCCCTGGTCAATTAGGTGATCATTCCAGTTTTCCATTTCTGTGATTTTTAAATCCAATCACCCTCATCAATGAAGATTTCCTAACACAAGGATATTTTATTTGTAAGTTGATTGAGATACGGCCTCATTCAGGGTCAAAGGATTTCCTGGGTGATAAGAGCAGAGTTCATTATTAGAGAAATGACTGAAAGGGAAGGCTACACTCTGACCTCCACTTGCCCCTGAGGGAAAGAACTGATGTTTGTGCCGAAATAATGAAATATCGGACTTTCTCTTTTTGCCTTCCATAAACTATTCACAAATGAACTTATTACTTCTTATCATAGTCCACAAAAGCAAACAGGCTACAAAAGCAAAGTTTCTGACGTCCTCAGTGTCCTTTTTATTCTTTTACCTTTGAAATGAGGGGAGTCACACATTCCAGAAAAACAGAGTAAGGAAAGTGTATGCAAATGGTACCAGGTGTGACTCATAGAAATACACCATGATAGAGCTGGTAGGAAACTGAAGTACTTTAGTGTGGGGTTGCTTTCAGGGGCCTGGTTGTCATCATATCTGAGTGAAGTTTGCTGGGGAAGCACACTACAGAGTGTAGGGGACTATGGCAATAAAAAAGCCTATATTGGCCTTAAAGTACTGGAAATCAGTATTTTTATAAAGCACAATGAATGTCAAACATGTTTTCTCACCAAATTCAGTTCTTGGTCAGCCCTTGATTCAGGCCTTACCTCTATATTTTGCCAACATGAAAAACTGAAGATCAGGAAATTAAAATTAGTCATCTGTAGTCCCACATTTACCTACCAACCAATTCCAGACTGGAAACAGGACATTCTTTCCCTATCCCTGAAAGTTTTGTGAAAACCTTACTTGGAGGATGATAATGTTGGAAAATAATGGGAAATGAGTTCAGAAATGGAAATTGAGGTAAGATTGTGGAAAGCCTTATCTGACAAACTAGGATTTGCAGGCAAGAAGGAATTTCCAAAGTGTTTTGAGTAGTGAGCCCTATGATAAAAGCTATGTTTTAGCAAGGTTGTATGGTAACGTGTGCCATTTATATCAGAGGAGAGAACACTGCAAGCAAGAAGATTCAAGAGAAAGTAATTACAGTTTAAGTGGGAAGACATGAGAACCTAGACATTGAAAAGGAAGGGACAGATTCTCCAAGGGAAAACTGCTAGGATAAGGTGACTTACTGAATTAAGAGACAAAAGAGAAAGAAAATGAGGAGTGACTTCACAATCCCCAAAGAGAAAATTATATGAAGATTAAATCACTGTACTAGTGATTGTTCTCACTTGACTGGGCTAGAAATATTTATGTAGGGTTAAAAGTTAATTCTACATGTTGACTTTTTTTTTCTACCATTAATAGAAGTAACTCCCCTCTCCTTTTAATAGTCCTAGAAAGTAATTAAATTATCTGTGAACCTTGAAATATATGCCCAGAATTTAAGGCAGGTATATAAAAAATAGAGACATTTTATATTTTAACTGTCACATTTTCATAGTGATGTGCTAAATTAGATTTAAAAATAAATCTATGAGTGAAATTTTAAGCTAAAGGCATGGATAGCACAAAAAAGAACAATTAGACCATGGATAGCATAAAAAAGAACAATTGAAATTTAAATAATCTATAACCCCAGTTTTTCAAAGCTATATTAATTTTCCTTTTTTAAAAAATGCTTTTTAAAAAGCAAAGCAGATAAAAAAATAAAATTGCTGATTTGTTTCATATTTCCTCTTTTTTGTGTCACTCATCTTGTTCTAAGAGGGCTGGGAAGTAAGCCTCTCACACACAGCCATAGGCTCCTACAGCAGAAGGATACTGAGGAAACTGAGTGGTTTAGATATTTAATAGTCATCTTTTGATTAATTTATTATTATCATAAGTGTATCTGGTTTCGTGTTGTCAAATGAAAGGTTTAGCTCGATTTTCTCAGAAGATAGGAAAGTTATTTGGCAAAATTTTTTTAAAGTAATTTTCAACCATTAGGAAATTAAAAATGCGGTGGAGTCCTGGATCTTTGTGTCTCCAACCTTTCCCCCAACCAGGTTAGGGAGACAGGGGTGGGCTACATCACTTTATTACTGCTCCCACTATGTGGGTCAAATCATGTTTCCCCTAGTCCTGATATCTAGTGGGAGTTTCAAATAACTGGCCAAATATCAAGTGAAGATGCCGGTCCTGCCCCCTAACCATACTTCCAAAAATCTCACCTTGTGGTTCTTATCTAGGACCCTCTGAAGAAGGGCACCTTTTCAGACAGCTAGAGTGTGCCTTGCCCCCAAGGAAAAGAGTTCTTGAAAAAAACAAATGGGAAACATGGCTACAAGGAGACTGGGAAGACTGCAAGGTGAGAA